CCTCCTCCTCCTCCTCCCCCTCGTTCTCCTCACGCTGTCTCACGCTTGACTGTCTTTGGGCGTTGGCGTGGTGCAGGTTATGTGACAGATTGCGCCCTGTACTTTTCCTCCTCCTTCTCCTCCTCCTCCTCCTGCCCCCTCCCCCTCCCGACCGAACATCCGACTCACGTTCGACTGGAGCCCTTTTTGGGCCCTCTTGGGATCCTCTTGGGCTCTGTGGGAGGGCCTTTTGGGGACTCCTTGGGAAGCTCCGTGGCCACGTGGAGCCACCTCGGAGACGACCACCCCCTCGAGCAGCCATCGCCAGTGACCGGGGCTCCTCCGTGGAAACTCCTTCCATAGGGAGGGTCTCACGGCTGTGTTCATTGTCTTCGGGCGTTGGAGTGGTCCAGGCTATGTAAAAAGATTGCGGCCTGTGCTGTTCCAAACGCACCCTTTGAATCCCCGAACCCGACCTGGGCGCGTCTTCCCATGTGCTCGCTGCTCCTCCTCCTCATGCCCCTCGGATTGTAGCCTTCTTGCCCCCTGCCCCCCTCCCCCTCCCGACCGTGTGCAGCCAAGACGCTGAAATAAGGAACAGTTTGGGTTCGGAAGGGGCTCGATGTTCCTTAGGTTCCTCCAGTGTTGTTTCTCTTGCCCTCCTGGGGCACGGAGGCGCTTACGGGGCCAAGAGGGGGCTTCGTTCCTTATTGAGCGTCCCTTCTTTCAGCGGCCCGACCGTAGCCGTCTTGGCCCGCGGCCCTCTGAGCGAGTGCGGCCGCCGAGCGCCCGCGGCCCCGCCTGCGGCCGGCGCCCGCGCGCCCGGGCCCGGGCCATGCGGCTGCGGCAGACCGTGCAGGAGCTGTGGCGGGTGGCCGCCGCACGGGCGCGCGCGCCCCCCGCGCCGCGGCGGCGCGCCGCCCCCGCCCGGGGGGCCACGGATGCGCGCCGCTCCTCCAGGGGGCCACGTGCGAAGCCCACCCCCGCCACCCACGAGTTATGAGGGGGAGGGAGGGGTTCGCTTCGCTCGGGAGCTCCCGAACGAAGTGAACCCCACCCTCCCCCTCAGAAATCTGGGGGGGCAGGGGTAGGGTTCGCATGTGGCCCCCTATCCTCTGGTCCCGGGCACCATTGGCACGCCCAGAAGGGGGGCGCGGCTCGGCGACGCGCAAGAATGACCCTTTGCCGGAGTGGCCTGGTGTGCGGGCCCACAGGGGTCACCCCAGCACTGGGCCGAAGCGGCCTGCGCGCTTGGATTGGGTAGGCCCGGTGCCCCCGAAAGGCGCGCACCAAACGTCACTCTTGCCAAGGGGTACTCTTACGTGCAGCGGAGATGGAGTGTTAGCACGATGCCGAACAGTAACTAGAGTAGTGCCAGTTTATCTGGAACGAGATGTTTTGTCGTTCGGATCCGACTGGGCAACAGTTCGTACAGCAACCCTTGTCCATTTGGCAACACTTGGTGTCCATATGTGCAGGGATTGCTTTCGACATGACCACATGCGTTGTCTGAGGGTTTCCGGAGGACACCACCCCTTGTTCCTCATGAACAGGCACTGCTGTTGGACATCGCGCCCATGTTTCCCGTCACCACTCCTGGCGTGCGAGCATCAGGCGGAGAAGCTCGGCTTCCACCGTGTCGACGAGTGGTCTCCTCTGCAGAACCTGGACGGCGACGAGGCCGCGCGCTTGCTCGCCGCCGAGGCCGCGGGCGCGCGGGCCTTCTTCGAGGGCACGGAGGAGTTCAGCGAGAGGTTGCAGGCCGAGGCGGCGCACCTGCTCGAGCCCCAGCCCGCGACGCCGCCGGAGGTGCACGGGGCGTACCGCTACTTCGAGAGGCACGGCCCGGAGGGCTTCGTGGTCTTCTGCCGATCGCCCGCCGCGGGGCCCGCGGCGGGGCGCGAGGAGGCGCTGCTGGACGCCGGCGAGCTCGCCTCTCGCGAAGGCACCGGCTACGCGGAGGTGACTGCCTGCAAGGTCTCGGACGACCATTCGGTCGTCGGGTACGTCGTGGATGTGCGCGGCGACGAGTCGTGGGAGCTTCGCTTCCGTGATGCGGGCAGCGCGGCCGATTGGCCCTCCGCCGTCCCGGGCGCGCGCAGCTTCGAGTTCCTCGGCGGCGGCGGCGACGGACAATCTGCCCTCGCTGCTCTCGTTGTGCACACGGATGCCGCCACTCGCAGGGCCAGCAGCATATCGTTGTTGCCCGTTTCGAGGCGCGACCTTGCCGAGCAGCAGCCGCGACTCCTGTGGGAGGAGCCCAACGAGGCCGCGTACCTGGAGGTGTTCCGCACGAAGAACCGGGAGTTCGTGCTGTGTTCTTCCAACACGAAAGACACGTCGGAGGTCCGTGCTGTGCGGTGCGGAAGCAGCGCTGAGGCCGCCTCGGCCAGGACGATGCTGGCGCGAAGAGAGGGCGTCGAGTACTTCGCAGAGCATTGCGGGGGACAGTTCCTCGTCATTAGCAACCACGAGAGGCCAGACTTTGCCGTCTACACACTACCCGAGGCGGCCCTCGGCTCCGACGACGGCGGCTGGCCCAGCCTGCGGCACGTCTTTGCGCCCCCGGGGCGGTTCCACGTGACCGACGCCGACGTGCTGCGCCGCTGGCTCGTGCTGTACGGCCACAAGGACGCCGCGCCGGCGATCTGTGTCGTCCCCCTGCCACCCGCAGCTGACGCAGGCAGCGTTGCGCCCAAACGGGCGCCTTACTTGGCCGCGTTGCCACGTGCCGTGGGCTCTGTGGAGCCTGGCGTGAACGCGGAGCCGACGGCAGAGTCGGTGCGCTTCAGCTTCCGGTCGCCCCTCGATGCCGGCTCCACCTACGACCTGCAGCTGGAGACCGGCGAGCTGGCCCTGGTCGACAGCCGCAGGTGGCAGACCACGGTCGGCGCGGTGGGCCCCGATGCGTTCGAGTGTGAGAGGCTGGAGCTCCCGGCGCGTGACGGAGAGTGGGTGCCCTTGACGTTGGTGCGTCCTCGGCCAGAGCACGGTGCAGCGCCCCGGCCATGCCTTCTCCACGTGTACGGGGCGTACGGCACCTGCCTCTCGCCTGACTTCCGCCCCGAGGTCGTGTCCTTGCTGCGCCGGGGCTGGGCCGTTGCTTGGGCCCACGTGCGGGGCGGTGGAGAGAAGGGCCGCGCGTGGCACTCCGCCGCGAGGGGGCTGGGCAAGGCCCGCTCGGTGTTGGACTTGGCCGACACGGCGAGATTTTTGCTGGCTCGCGGCGTCGCGGCGCCTGGTGCGCTGTGCCTCAAGGGCTCGAGCGCTGGGGGGTTGACGTTGGGCGCGCTGCTGAACTCGCCAGAGGAGGCGTCCCTTGTGGCTGCTGCCGTGATGGAGGTGCCGTTCGTGGACGTGCTCACGGGCATGATGGACCCGTCGCTGCCGCTGACGGTGCACGAGTTCGCGGAGTGGGGCGACCCGCGCGAGCCGCGGCACGAAGCCAACTTGCGGTCGCTGTCGCCGTACGAGAACGTCGGGAGCCATCGGTACCCGCCCCTGTACATGTCCTGCGCGCGGGAGGACGCCCGCGTCCCGGCCTGGATGCCCCTGAAGCTCTCCGCGCGTTTGCGGGCCCGCTGCCCGGAGCCGGTGGGGGGCGCGGCAGGAAGCGGGCTGCGCCGGCGCAGGGGCACACCGCGGGAGGCGGCTTCGCCGGTGCTCCTGCAGTGCGCGGACGGCGGCCACGGCGGCGCGGTGGATTGGCAGGGGCGCGCGGAAGAGTCGGCGCGGCAGATCGCCTTCCTGTACAAGTCCCTGGGCCTCCCGCTCCGGTAAAGACCGCCCAATCCTTCTCCTCCCCCCCCAGAAATCCAGGCTATGCAAAATTGGTTCAAGCCAGGCGGTACCGCTCGGTTCGGCCCCCGGGTCCATCACAGGTCGACCAGGCTCGAAAAATGCTGTGGAAAGATAGGGCCTATAGGGTCCTGGGCGTATTTGTTCGCGATGTTGCGCTTTTGTTCGCAGCGTCGGATCTGATGGTCCTCCTCTTGCATAGATCTAGGCCTCCTAGACGGAGTCGGAGTAGATGGGGTCGGAGGATCGCGCCGCATCGCCGATGCATCGCCGATGCGGCTCGATGTGAAGCCCGATTTGCTTCACGCAAGTGGGAGCAGGCGCACGGGCACCCCCCTCCCGTGCACTTCGGCGCGCCTTCTCGCACGCCTCGCTGCCGTGGCCCAACGGGGAGCTCCAACTCCGGACTCAGTATGCGCGCAGACGCATTACGCCCGCCCGCCCAATTCGGCGCACTACTCACGCGCTCCGTGGCCCCGCAGGGGGCTCGTGGACGTATGGGTCCCCCCCGCCCGCCTCGGTGCACCCCTCATATGCTTCGTGGATCCAGAGGAGGCTCCACCTACGGTCCCAGTCGGCGCAGACGGCCACTTCGTCGCACCCCTCGCGTCTCGCGGCCCCACATGGAGCTCCATGAATGGTCACAGTGAGCACAGGAGCATGGGGTCCCCCAGCCCACTTCGGCGTGCACCCCAAGCGTTTCGTGGCCCCACATAGGGCTCCACCGACGTCAATTCTGACACCAGAGGTATTTACTTGGTGTCCCTCACCAGCATACTTGTATGTGCGTTTTCTTCTGGATCTATGTTTCCAGTCGTCCGTGCGCTGTATAGTCCACACGCGTACCCTTTGATAACTGGACCGATGAACAGTTGCCCTTACTTTTCACATGGCCACTTCCCTTCCTGTCCGTCCCCTGATGGTTGACAGCAGGCAGTTGCAACGTTATGCATTATTTGGTTGTTTTGCACACACACTTGCACACATGCACGATGAATACATATATGTTAACTGATGTACCTAGATGGGCATCGCTGAATCGTGTATGTTTCATTGCCGAGGCGATTGGCCATCAGTAGCTGTAGTGACCGCAGTATTTTGATGTATACCATGTGTTGAGTCTTGGAACTGTCGCGTCGATGCCCTCTCATGCGTCTCAATTGTCTTGATTAAAGTTTGAGAGCGTGCGGAGTGGCTAATGACAGAGGGCTATACGTCGACGTATGCCGGACACCAGTGCACATTGGCTGGCCACCCATTCAAGTTCAAGATGCTTGACCGCGATGCATGCCTTCAGAAATTCGAGACGGCCAAGGTCAAAGTTGAATGACGATTCGCTCCTAGCTACAATCAGGTCTTACGGAAAAAACAGGCAGTGGGTTGCAGCGTTTGCAGCACTCCGAGATGCGTCGCAGTCGCACGTGCATGTTGGCATCAAGCTTTGCAATGCTGCTCTTGTCGCTTGTGGGCAGGGCCGACAGTGGCAATTCGTGCTGTCGTTGTTGGGTAATTTTGAGGCGTTCAAGGTGGATCCAACCATAGTCAGCTACACAGTTGCGATCGGTGCTTGCCAGAAGTGCGGTCAGTGGCGACAGGCCCTGGCGTTGTTGTGTGGTGCCTGCGAATGGAAGCTAACGCCAGACAGTGTGACCTATGGTACTGCTATCGACGCGTGTGCAAACGGTAGGCAGTGGCAGTGGGCGTGCTCTTTGTTGAACGTGCAGTGGGAGCAAACGCAAGTACCGGACGTCTTGTGCTACAACTCCGGCATCAGCGCTTGCGAGAAGTGTGGGCAATGGCAGCCCGCGCTGAGGTTGTTGAGTGAGATGTGGGATGCGGATGTGGATCCAGACGTGATCTTTACGGCTGTACCGGGCAGTCTGCGTGCCAGCAGGGATCCATTTGCTTCCCCAGGCCCGCGCCGCCTTCGCGGCTCCGCTCGAGGGGCGACGCCGTGCTTGCCCAAGAGTGCCCCGCAGGACAGCCCAAGAGGGCCCCGAGGGAGCCCGCCATGGCCTCCGGAGAGCCCCTCGACAGCCCTCCGGAGCGCCCCAAAGGCGGCCCGAGAGACCCCAATGTTTTGTTTCCGTCGCAGCGCGGCAGCGGCAGCCCGCACGCGCGGGTGCCGAGTGTCCGGCGGCCAGAGGGGGAGACCAAGGGGCGGGCGCGGTCGCGGAGGGAGGAGGGGGAGGGGGGAATACTCACAGCGCGCAGGGCTTCGACTGGAGTGGAGGTCCCAACACACACGCACACACGCACCCACACGCGAGAACTCTCCAAGAGAACCCCCAAGAGAGTCGCGAGAAGGAACAGCTAGTGAAATTCTGAAGATGTCCAGTTCTTTGTTCTATGCTAGTTTATCTGGCACCACACCGCCCAAGACGACCCAGGAGGCGTTCGAGATCGGCCAAAGGCAGCCCAGGCGGCCTCCAAGAGAGCCTCGAAGAGTTCCAAGAGGCCCCCAAGACGGCTCCAGTGGCCCGCAAGACGGTCCAAGAGAAGAGGCCCGAAAGACGGCCCCAGGGGGGGCCAAGACAGGGACCCCGATCTCCAAATTCGGAACGCTTCCCCCCGATCAGTCCATTCCACGCACCCCGGACGCCCACAAGAGACTTCCAGAGGCTCCTGAGACGGCTCCGGATGCCTCCCCAACTGTCCAAGAGCCCCCGCGACAGTTCCAAGATTTTAGTCGGGGCCCCAAAGCGGCATCCCGAGCTGCAGCAACAGCACGTAGCAGTGGCACGCAGTAGCGGCAGCAAGCAGCAGCACGCAGCAGCATGCGCGGAGTGCGACGCTCGACCCCCGCGCCATGATGTCAGCCTTCGGCAGTGCCCACAATCACATGCCAGGTCGGGCAGGTTTCGTGGACGCAGTCCACGGGTCGGAGGTTGCTAGAGGTACCCCTGGCCCAGGGTGCCCGCAGCTTGTCCCTCAATCTTGGAGCCCCCGGGGCCCTCTGGGCCTCGTGATTCGAACTGCTGCAGGGCACCTCGGGCCAGGGGCACCTCCAGCAGCCTCTGAACGGGTGAAATGCCTGGACGGCGGCGCCTCCTCGGCCTTGGCCGGAGGGGCGCCGCCGCCCTGGCCCCAAGAGAGCCCCCGGGCGGCCCGAGCTGGCCCGGGAGAGGGCCCAGACGGCCCAGGAGAGGACGGCCCAGAAGGGCTACAGTCAAAAAGCTGAAATAAGGAACAGTTTGGGTTCGGAAGGGGCTCGATGTTCCCCAGGCTCCTCCATTGCTGTCCCTCTCGCCCTCCTCGGGCACGGAGGCGCTTTTAGGTCCAACAAGGGGCTTCGTTCCCACGGATTTCGGAGCAGGCTCCCCAAGACGGCCCAAGACGGCACCGAGGTTGCCCTGCAGGCCCCCGGGGTCGTCCAGGACGCCCCAGGGCGGCCCCAAGAGGTGGGCCCCGAGCATGCATGCGGAAGGCTCCCCCCCCCCCGATCTGGTCTCCTCCACGGCCAGCAGGCCCTCCAGACGCCTCCAGGAGGCTCCCCGAAGCCCCCGAGAGACCCATGGAGGCCCCGAAGAGGCTCCCATTCTGATTCACCAGCCTACTTTAGCCTTTGTTCGCCAGGAAGACGTCGAGCGCCCAACAAAGTACCGAAACTCAAGGGTTTTCACGCGTCGGGCCCCGGGAGACACTCGCCTGACACTGTTTCGACACTGTTTCGACACTCTTTTGACACTTTTCCAGGTTCTAGAAATTGTTTCTGGGATGCGG